ATACAGAAGGATTTAAAGAAATGGAGCTTATTGAAACTATCTCTACTAGGAAGAATTGCGCTCATAAAAATGAATGTTTTACCTAAACTACTGTTTTTATTTCAAAATATACCCATAATCAAAAATCAAACAGAATTTATAAAATGGAAGAAAGAATTATTGAAATTTGTGTGGAATGGGAAAAGACCGAGAATTAAATATTTGAACTTAATTGATAAAAAAACGCGAGGGGGACTGGGATTCCCAGATCTGAAAACATATCATGAGGCTAGTGCCCTTTTGTGGATAAGAGATTGGATGACATTAGAAAATGGAAAAGGCTTGAACTTAGAAGGACATGATCTACGTGTAGGCTGGCATGCCTACACGTGGTACGATCGAGAAAAAAAGGAAAAAAAAATTGGAAACCATTTTGTAAGAGCATCATTATTAAGAGTATGGATGAAATACAAGAATCATTTTTATACTAAAACGCCTCTATGGGTTTCACCGATGGAGGCGTATCAAAGAAGATTACTGGGTTGGAGAGCGTGGCCAACATATAGAGATATACTAGTGAGGAATACTATGGAAATTAAATCCTTCCAGCAAATGAAAGAAATAAATGGTAATTTGACGTGGTTACACTACTTGCAAATGAAAGAATATATCAAGCAAGACAATAAGATAGGCTTCGCCTGGGAAGAGTCAATTTGGGACAAAATATTAAAGACGAATAAGAAAGTAATTTCAGTTATTTATAATACACTATTAACCTGGCTAACGGAGTGCGAGCAAGTGAAAACATGTATGATAAAATGGGCGGAAAACATAAGAAGACCTATTCAATTTAGGGAGTGGGAGCAGATGTGGAACAAAAAATTGAAATATGTATATGCAACAGATTTAAAAGAAAACTGGATAAAAATGTTCCACAGATGGTACACCACTCCTAAGAAACTATCTTTAATGAACAAGAATACTTCTGATAAATGTTGGAAGGGTTGCCATCAAACAGGTACTTTTTATCATATGTGGTGGACGTGTAAAGAAATAGAGAAGTATTGGACGAAAGTACATGAAGAGCTACAAAAAATTTTGAAGAGAGTTTTTAAGAAGAAACCAGAATATTATCTATTGGGATTTACAGATTTGGAATTACAATTAGATGAGAACGAAGATAGACTATTTACCTATGCTACAACAGCGGCGAGAATATTATTGGCGAGGTTTTGGAAACAGGAAGATATCCCTACCACTGACGAGTGGTTAGGGAAATTAAGAGAAATAAGAGAAATGGATGAATTAACTTTTTTCTTGAAAAAGAATACCGGGAACCCGATAAAGAGGACAGATTGGACTCTATATGAAAATTACGAAAAGGAAATAAATAAATAAGAGGAATACTATGAAGTGGATGTAATGGAAATATCATTGAGGACGCAACACCTGATGGAGAGATGGAAGTCAATTTTTATTTTATATATTTTTTTCTTTTTTCTTTTTTTTCTTTATTTTGTGTGGCTTTTATATTTTTGTATTTTGTGGTGGACTTGGGGGTAGGGGGATGTATTTCTTACTTTTTTCCTACTTTCCTATCATCTTTTTTAATATTCTCCCTCTTTCAATGTTATTCTTAAAACCTTAATAAAAACTATTATAAAAAAAAAGAAAAATTTCGGGAGGGGGGGTTGAACCTCTAACCCCCCCCCCTTCCCCTCGGCTACAGGTCTGGTGCCTGGGAATAATGGGAGTTGCAGCCCAGCAACATCTCAAGGCTATCTGTCCTTTATCTCTGCAATGGTATCCTACTACTCAATCCCCCCAAACTTGGCACACTGAACTCCCATGACCAACAGAAAATACTGGAAGTGTTTGGTGGGCATTGACCTTAAGTTTGGGAGTTGTAGTTCACTTACACCCAGAGAGCCCCGTGGACTCAAACAATGACAGATCTGGACCAAACTTGGCATGAATATTCAATATGCCCAAATGTGAACACTGTGGACAGTTTGGGGGAAAATAGACCTTGATGTTTGGGAGTTGTAGTTGCTGGGATTTATAGTTCACCTACAATCAGAGCATTATAAACCCCACCAAGAGTAGAATTGGGCCAAACTTCCCACACAGAACCCCCATGACTAACAGAAAATACTGTATTTTCTGATGGTCTTTCACGACACCTCTGACACCTCCTCACCCACCCACCCTGGATCCTGACCCCCAGGTTGAGAAACACTGCTCTAGCAAGTGATGTGATTCTCTTTTGGGTTTCTTTGGATTAATCTTCAGGGATACCAGAAGCAAGAAAGACAATCTTCTGAGGTCTGCGGACTCACACTTCATTTCAGAAAATATAAATTATAGTATCTATAGTCATTAACATCATTTCAGAAGCTATAAAGTATCCAGATAATAATTCAACTGAAGCAGTTCTAGAATTCAAAAGGACTCAGAATCTAATCCAACAATACAATAAAAAGTAAGATAAAAATGAAATGTTTAGAATAAATGCTAATGAAAGCAAAAGTCCCATAAAAGCATCTCGGTGCTACAAGCAAAACAAACATTTTGCCACATAAGTGCTGCCCAAGCGTTTTTAGCTCTGGTCCTCCAGGCAAGAATTCTTGATGAGTTTATTGTGGCATGCAGGACATGCTGGAGCAGCACAATGGCATCACATGCCTCAAAGCAGGCCGGCCTCTTGCTTTTTATTAATGGCACTTTACTACACGTCAATACAGCCCAGAGGCTGTGAAAAGCTCAAGGGTAGTTTCTTTAATTAAAAAAAAAAGATTTTTAATTGCTTAATAGCTTACATCTGTATTACTCATGAAGATATTAGTAATTACAGGACAACCATTTATTAACTAAGAGTGAATGGTGACCTGTGAAATGACAAGCTCAAATAATTTCTCCCCTACAAACTCTTTACATAACCATACCTTCCCTGCATTCTTTCCAGTTTACCTGGAACCAGCTACATAGACTTCCATATAAGCTCCCAATTCTATGTGGATGGTATGGGTTCACAGCTGCACAGACTCCTTGCAGTTATTTTTTTAAATCACCATCATCCCCATCCTCTGCATTTATATTATATTCTACATTTTCCCCTTAAGACTAGGGATTTATCTACACAAGTACCTCAATCTTGTAACATGGCTTCGTTGGCCTTCATTTATAAAGTCACCATAAGTTGAACTTGACTTGATGGCAGTTAATAACAAACCTTTTCCCCCAAAACTGGGACTGAAGATAGCTTGAGATGATAACACCATGTAAGATTTTTGTCATTTAAGAATTGGTTCTATCACAAAATATGGACAATTTTTTAAAATTAAACTGCAAAAACTTTGTTGTTGTGTGACATCTTGCAGTACATTTTACTATCGTTTTTCATAAATATCTCATAGAGCCGCAACAGATTCGATATAGTTTGTGGCATTTCAAATGCTGATTTGTTATCAGTAAATTGTTGATTTTATATCTATTGTATACAGCTATATACCTGAGGTCATGAAAAATTCTTGAGCCAAAAGGGTCTGAAGTGGAAAAGTTGAAGACGCCCTGCTCTATAACTCTGTCTCTTTCTCTGCCTGCCTGTCTTTATAAAGCCCCTTTTGCCTTTCATACATTGTCCTAATAGCTCCTGGTTTTTATTTATTTTTTCATAAGAACACTCCAAACCATCCATAAGATAGTTTTTGTTATTCTCTAGCAAACAATTCCAGTTTTCTGACCCAGGATTTCAACATTTGGATTTTGATACTTACATTGTACTTAAAGCTAATTATTCCATTTTCACCATATTTTGAAACTAAAAACAACATGGATAAAAGTTCGGGTCTTTCAAAGCTATGGTTTCCCAGGAACTGGAAGATTACATTACAGGACTCATTAAAAGCCAGAATATTAATTGAGTTATTTCTAAGCTGAACTGAGATGGTAAATGGAAAACGATTAAAAGGTAATAAAATCTGGGATTTTCTTCTGAATAGTAGCTTCTCAGCATTTAACTTTAAAGAACTCTCTGGAGAAAAAAAGGGGTATGAATATTCCCAGTCTTGGAGCTAAATATGGTGAACTTGTGATACTGATGTCAAATTAAACTTGCAAATAAATAATTAATGGTAATGATGCACATTACTCAGGGAAAAAAGCATTAGTAATAGTACTTGGGGAGAAAATGGATGAATGTACTATTGATGGCTCCAAAAACATTACACCCTGCTGAGAAGGATACATTAGAGTCTAAGTATAAAGCATATAGTAAAACTTGGGGCTAACTTCAGAATTCATTTGCTTTAAGTATCTCAAGTATTTCCTGAATACATAAAAAGCAACTTTCTGATTTGCATGGCCACAAAAATGTATTTAAAAGAGTATGAACAATGCTTACTAAAATCTCAGAAGCCAGTTCAGCGAATGTGGAGCTCACTTTGGTTTTAGCATAGCAAAGTGTGTGCCTGTAAATTATGCTCCAGTATATGGAGAAATACTTTTTAAATGTTTACATATTTTAAATTGTATGCTAATATTTTTATGTCAAGCTGCTCTGTGTTCCTTTTTGGGTGAGATAAAGGAGGGAAAAATAAATGTAACAACAACAACCATCTTCTGCCTCCTGTTCCTACTATTATGATTCAAAGCAGCATTTGATCTAAAACCATCATTTAGACATATTCACAAATGCTTGAAGTTCAGAGGAGATTCCACTACAACATTTCCATCATTTGAAGCAGTTGTACATTGGCTGAACACTATCAACTTGTTGCACAGTATGTATGTTCACACAGCTCCACTAATTTCCTCCTAATTATAATCACTGGGAGCTACATAAATTATAATAAATCTATACATAAATCCACTCTGAGCCCCCTTCTAGGTGAGAAGGGTGGGATATAAATGTTATAAATAAATAAATAAATAAATAATCACAGAAAAACAAATCGGAATTTTATGTCAGAAGAAAACATTTTCATTTATTTCTTTTCCCACTGAATTTATTATGTCTTTACCTATAAATCGAATAATTCTCCGGATCAACGGATTCAGGTAACAGCATTCCCCTGTCAAAATGGTTTTCTCCTTGACAATCAAGCTCTCCCTGGTAGACTTGATGAAGTACATGGAGATCTCTCCAATAAAAATCTGTAAAACAAAAAACAAGGAACTGAAAATCACAAATGGAAGTACTGTAGTAATTGAAACCATGTTTGCTTGCTACTGGAATGTGCAATGCACAGCTAAGGATACAACAGGGCATCACCCCAAAGATACTCCCAAACCTCTATTACTATTGGCTATTTACGAGTGCATGATTGCGAATTTAGCATTTCTGATTACTTTTCACCTAAGCAATATAATATAAAGTAATTTCTTTCTAATGACAATTCAACTCAAAATGTATATTTATATTCTCAGGTGTTCTTAGAATTTTACATCAATAGCAAACATATACAACAAATTACGTTCCCTTAAATGGCAGGACCTAGTGGAAGAAATTCCACATGGAGGCTGGACATTTCTCCAACTATTTAAAAACTTTTTTCACCTGGGGACTGCACTGACTTAGTCATTGGTAACTCCCTCAGCTGAAAGAAATCAATGTAAAATTTCACTAGAGTAGGTGATGAGGAATGCTCTCATTGCTATCTGGTCACAAACACTTACGATGACACTTACACCTCACTACCACTGAGGATGCTTGCCATAGATGCAGGCGAAACGTCAGGAGAAATGCCTCTAGAACATGGCCCTATAGCCCGAAAAAACCCACAGGAACCTACTTACAATGACCATTATCCTCAGAAAATCTCACTGTTTTCTGCTTTCTACCCCAAATTGTTTCTTTCTATAACTGTGAAGGCATCTTCCTGCACCTCTGCTCCTTTGTTGATTATTCATCTCATTTCACAGATGGAAAAATAAATCTCTTCCCACTCTCAGTTTTCAGTCTGGTTTTCAGGACTATTATTTATTTCCATACAAAATTAATGGCTTTGGTGTGGCAAAGCACACCAGGTCTTGGTTTCCTTGGAAAAACACTGATTAAAGTTTTTATAATATGCCTGGCCCAAGGAAAGAACATCACATGGCAAAATCATTGAGATTTTATGTGTGGAAGCACAAATGTACAGTGGAGTGTCCCAACTTAAGAGCATTTTGAGTTAAGAGCCTTTGCTTGGCTTGGGATTTGCTTTGACATAGGAACAGCATTTTGAGTTAAAAGCAAGCATGAGATTGAGTACCAGCTTGAGAAAACAGGGCTCTAGGGCTTCAAGGGAGCAGCCTCCATGCCTCGTGCTCTTGTCTGCTTTGGAAGATTGCTTTGATCTTGTCTGCTTTGAGAAACTGAAATTAGGGTGCTGGGGGCGGGGGCAAGAAGGCTGTCTGAGTCTGGGAGGTCAGGATGGTTATGGGGATGCCATCTTGGGATTAGTTGTGGTGATCCAAGATGACAGTCCCCACTGTGGAAACACCAACAAAGGTTTGGGTCTTCCTGGGGGATTCCCACCCCTGCTGGTGGTTTTTAAACTCAGGGTCAAGATGGATTAAATGATTCATCCCAGGAGAAACTACATTATCCTGAGTGTGTTGCTTGCATGCACTAGGTGAATGTGTTTCTTACGCTGGATATAATGGCAGTGTATATGCAATCATGGTAAGGGAAATGTCCAGCATTATTCCCTCATCAATCAAAGTTGGAGCATTGCGTGGGGTGGTGTGGTGTGGGGTGCAAATCCTGCTGCCCCAGTAGAAGCAACCTTCCTCGCTGTCTCTGCCACTGCTATTGTTGCTGGCATCATGACTGCTTTGAATGCATGTGGGAAGCTAGAGGAGGAAAAGAAAGAGAAGGTAGAGGAGAAGGTGGAGGAAGAGTGGTTGTCCCATCTTTCTTGCATACCCCTTGAGCAACTAGCACACTTCAACAGAAGGCTGCAACACATAGTTTGAGAACCACTGTTGTAGAGGAAAACATAATGTTCCCCAGCGCTGTTCTGTATATGAACAATGCTTCATTAATTCATGCTGATATATTTTATCTGATACAGTGGCTACACTGCATTTGTCCCTTGGGTCTCCTAGTAAAATCTCTTTACGGTGGGAAACTGAGCAAAATGTGGATGTACTTTTAGCTCCACTATTATTTGTGAAAATTACTGCTGAAGCCCGAGAGCTATGGGATGCCAGAACTGAATTTAGCATAAGTGAGGATTTATGTAGTTACATATTTAATGTCCAAGAACATGAGTAGATTGAACTAAATTAATCAGGAGAAAGTTTAGAAGTCGAAGAGAACAAGAAAATGACAAGTGCTTATGAGGTGAGCTTATCTGGAGTAAATTCTGAAAAGAAGGTTACAATCACTGAAGGCTGTGGGCCTTCTTTACCTCAGGTGACATATCTTTACATTGTTATGTAACCAACCTCAAAATGGGAAACAGAACAAACGGGACTTGTGACAAAATGTTGAGACATGGAGTCAAGCTGAGTCAAAGATTCCTCTACTTTTACAGGGCCAATCACTTATCATGCAAGCTGAAATTTATGATATAGTTGTATTTTAAGAATGGCAGGGTTTTAAAATATCTGAAAATATATGTTGGTGAAGTTTTTTTTTCCTTTCCCTCCTGTCTCTATGGCTGATTGAAAAATCCTAGATTTTGTTGCTCTTCTTTCTGATCTACTGGGTTAAAACAAACCAATTTAGGAGGCTGATATAAAAGGTATCTGATTATACTGGGTTCTGACAAAAATGTTCTGACAAGCAGTATATGGATCTCCAAAATAGAATTGTAAATAACAGGAACAAAATCTGGAACTTTGTGGTCTTTTAAATCAGTCTGGATGAGTCAAAATGTTCCTGGGACAGAATGCCCATCGCAATGGCACAAGATCAGAGATGGGCAAAAAACAACCGACAGACTACATGCAAATGCCAAGTGCTTTTTGTACCACTAACAAGAAAAGCAGAACTGAAGAAGTGCCAATGAAATGAGATTTGCTGGGGGAGGGGAGGAAATCAGCAGCAAACTCCAAAATGTACTTAACTAACATAAGGAAACTTTTTGTTGGACTCTCGTATGTGTGACAAGTTCACATCGACTTCTGAAATGGAAATGTTAAACTGCTAACACCTTCTAGCATTTGCCCAGGCTTTCTCTTCCTTAAACATCCATCTTCGTTAAATGTCTTGCTGCCACTTCCCCAACCATAATATCTCTGGCCTCCTCTGTCTCTCCATGATCATGGGATCGATGTTCCTCCAGGACAAATAAATCTCTAAATATTCTCTCACCTTTGCCGCTAATATTTGCTCTGAGGCATTACTGTCATGACTGAGTGAGACTGGCCTTGAGGCAAACATTCACTCTATGCTTAAGAGGATCATACTTGGGTTCACAGTACAATCTTATGCACACCTGGTCAGATGTAAACCTCACTTTGTTTAAAGAGGCTATTTGGAATGCCGTGTACTTTCAGGGAAATGTGCATAGCAGCGCATGTGCTGCTCCTCTGCCTGTTTGACCATTCTCCAATGTCCTGCTGCTGTTGCGTGCCTTCAAGTCACTTCTGACTTATGGCAAAACTAAGCTGAACCTATTATGGGATTTTTTGGGGCTCAGAGTATGTGACTTGTGCAGGGAATCGAACCCTGGTTTCCAGAATTGTAGCTCTACACTCAAACCATGGCACTGTCCCTACTGCTGTTCAATTTTGGTGGCACAGTGAAGGAAGATACATGCAAGGAGAATATGCCTTTCTCTCACAAACTAGTTAATAGTTTGGGGAGTTTACTGGAAATGTTAATCAGCTTGAAAATGAGATGAGTTCTTCAAGTATACCTTCTTTTAAAGCAGTACTTCTCAACCATCCTAATGCTGTGACCCCTTAATACAGTTCCTCATGTTCTGGTGACCCCCAGCCATAAAATTATTTTTGTTGTTACTTCATAACTGTAATTCTGCTGCTGTTATGAATTGTAATGTAAATATCTGATGCATTTTCATTCACTGGATCAAATGTGGCACAAATACCCAATATGCCCAAATTTGAATACTGTTGGGTTGGGGGGACTGATTTTGTCATTTGGGAGTTGCAGTTGCCGGGATTTATCATTCACCTACAATCAAAGAGCATTCTGAACTCCACCAATGATGGAATTGAATCAAACCTGGCACACAGAACTTTCATGACCAACAGAAAATATTGGAAGGATTTGGTGGGCATTGACCTTGAGTTTGGGAGTTGCAGTTCACCTACATCCAGAGAGCACTGTGGACTCGAACAATGATAGATCTGGACAAAACTTGGCACGAATACTCAATATGCCCAAATGTGAACACTGGTGGAGTTTGGGGAAAATAGAGCCTGACATTTGGGAGCTGTAGTTGCTGGGATTTATAGTTCACCTACAATCAAATAGCATTCTGAACCCCACCAATGATAGATTTGGGCCAAAATTCCCACACAGAACCCTCATGCCTTGAAGGGACTTGCTGGCAGTAGCCTCCCTCTAGCCTCGCACACTCTCTCTTGCCTGCACATGCGCATCACGCTGCCATGCGCCAAACAAACCTGCTCTCTCCTCTCTGCTTGGAGTTTCAGAAACAGCCCTCCCCTTGGCTGAGAGGCCGGCTGACAGTTCCTATCACAGCAAAAGAGGGCTTTTGGTGGGAGGATTCGCCATCTGTTTCCAAAAAGGAAGAGAAGGACAGGTGGAGAGATCTTCATCCTTCTCTGTCAAAGGGGTTCCTAAGACCATCAGAAATATATGTTTTCTGATGGTCTATGGCAACCCCTCTGAAACCCCCTCAACCCGCAGGTTGAGAAACACTGTTTTAAAGTGATGAAAAATGAGAGCGCGTTCAGGGCTTCTGGAAACTGCAAAAATGATTAAAATGCTAAAAAGCATGACACTAACGAAGGATTACCATGTTGTGAAAAGGGGGGGAAAGGGCACATTTACTCGTTGACAATATGATTCCTGTATCTACAAGATTAGTTTCACTTATCCATGTATGACAAAATCTGTCATCTCTAGAGGCATTTACAAGGAAAGCTATCTCCTTTCCCAACCAGTCAAGTTTTTTTTTCATGTCAGGAACGATTTGAGAAACTGCAAGTAACTTCTGGTGTGAGAGAATTGGCTGTCTGCAAGGACTTTGCCCAGGGGATGCCCGGATGTTCAATGCTTTACCATCCTTGTGGGAGGCTTCTCTCATGTCCCCACATGGGGAGCTGAAGCTGACACAGAGAGCTCAACCTATTGTCCTTGGATTCGAACCACTGACTTGTCAGTCAGCAGTCCTGCCGGCACAAGGGTTTAACCCACTGCACCACTGGGGACGCAATGGGTTAAGTCAATCCTGCAGCCAAGACAGTTCTTCCTTGTTGATATCATTTTAGCTGCTATGGCTCAATGCTAAGGAATCCTGGGAGTTGTTGTTCCACAAGGTCTTTAGCTTCCTCTACCAAAGAATGCTAGTGCATCACCAAACTATAACTCACAGGATTCCAAAGCAGGAGGAAAGCAGGAAGAGGAGAAACTGGGACATTTTAACTGCAACTGAAAATGTGGGAACAACATCCCTGTCAAACTGGGATATTTGGACATAGAGACAAGGATAAAACTGGATCAATCAGATTCCTTTATTTTGGTGACCATAAAGGCTGAAGATGATGGAGTTGTGTTCTTACATATATGAATGGCATTGGGTTGGGAAAAGCTTCAAGAAATCAAGATCCTGCTCATTCAATGTTATTGAGGAAGGCACAAATTCTCCCCATTCTATCAGCATGGTGACAAGCAAAGGTTAGACTACATTAAATGCAACAAATCCTCTTAGGCAAACAGCACCATGACATCTCTGTTGGGGAGATGCAAATGCCAACGGCCTGCTGGGAAAAACCCACAGAAGTGCACTGATCATGGTTTATGGGTTAATCCGAGGGAAGAGAGTGTCTGCTGACCCTCTTCCCTATATTCATGGGCAATCTGCTTCAGAATTAGGGGGTCAGGAAGGAAGATTATGGGGGAGGGTAGAGCCGTCCATCTCCTCAAAATAGCAAAAATATTCCAGTTTTTTATGAGCACTGTCCCTTTGTGGTTTTAATTGTGTTTTAATTTTAATTCACTTTCCTTAATTGCACTTAACACTGATTAATTGTGATGGCAAAAGAGGAACAAGCAAAACTGTGCAAGTGGAATCTCCCAAGTGTTTCCATGCACTCAGGAAGAATGACATCAAAGTGAATGGAGTTTGAAACTGATGTGGGGAGGCACTGAAAAGCACACCCTTGTGCCACAGTGTATCTGTATATATTGCTCAACCCCTATTGGGATCAGATAACAAAAGCTGGATGGAAAAATGGGACTGTGGTACAAATAGGAAGGCAGATTATTAAAAATCAGTGGTAAAATTATCTAGATATGACACATTCCTGGATGTGAGGTCCAGGAAATTGTTATAGTGGACATAGTCCTGTTTCTCCCCATAGAAGTCTACTTGGACCCTGAGATCTTCAGGGCAGGTCCTTTCAGTCTCATTGGTGCATCTACACTGCAGAATGAATGCAGTTTGACACCACTTTAACTGTTATGGCTCAATGCTGCAGAATCATCAGAGTTGTAGTTTTACAAGCCCTTCAGTCTTTCCTGTCAAATAGTGCTAGCTTCTCATTAAACCACAACTCCCACAATCCCAGAGCATTGAGTGTGGCAGCAAAAGTTGCATCAAATGGCACTCCTTGAATGGTAGGAGATGTCTTTTCTAAGTAAATACATAAAGGGATCTTGAACTTGGACTGGGGAAATCTTAATTCTTCTCCCTACTCATCTGGAAATCTGGTTGTACAATAATGATGCTATAAATTCCATTAGAAGAAATGCATCTCTGTGTAAATGGGTTTAACAATCAAATCCCTGGATCAGACATTGACCTGAATCCTACATCTCCTCCAGTGTAGTGTAAATATCCACATGAGGATGCATGCTATACTGAGACATATACCCTTCCTTCCCCACTTACTATAAAGCTGCTGAAGCTGACCTATATGAGCACCCCATAGCTTGGCGACAAGTAGACATGATCAGAGATGCATCCCCACAGACAGACTTGCAATGATTACAAATGCACCAAGAGCAATGGATAACAGAGATTGTGTCATCATAGTGTGTCTGGCTATAGGGATGTAAACAGACACTTATCTGATCCTACCTACTCGAGGCAAAACAGGGAACAGCCATGCAGTGTGGCTTCAGAGACTTGATAATAAGTCTGGGGGTGGCTTTGGAAGGAGGGAGGGAATACCAACCCACACAATGTTTAAGAACGGGTATTTATGTGTATAAGGGAAACTTGTATATGTGTATGTCTCTAGCAAGCCAAGGTATGTTGGATGGTTTCAATATTCTGTTTCAAATTCTTTCAATGTTTATGCACAGAGTGGGTAATTTTTACTTTGGTAAAATGATTCTCAAGACAGCATGAAGTCCCCAAAGGACTTCCTTTCTCTCTTCCCTCTTCTGTGAACTCTTTCCTTGTGTGTTATGTTTATGCATATATTATACAGCAGGACTACACCTCCAATTCTGATTTCCCATGTCACGTGCTCCAATAATTCCCCACACCTTTCTGTGGCTGTATACCTATCTAGTATAGATGGGTTGTTGTAAGTTTTTTGGGCTGCATGGCCATGTTCCAGAAGCAATCTCTCCTGAAGTTTCACTCACATCTATGGCAGCCATCCACAGAGGTTTGAGGTCTGTTGGAAACTAGGAAAATGGGGTTTATATATCTGTGGAATGTCAAGTGTGGGAGAAAGCTATAGTGTAGGGTTTGGTAATTTTGGACTATGCACCCCTAAATCCACCAGCATTCAAATGTTCACATTTTTGAAGGATGCTTTCATTTGTACATGAGTACTATTCACACAGAAAATGCATTCAAAACTCTCTCCAGAGATGTGGAGTGTGTCAAGTATGGTAGTGACAGCACAAACCTTAGCCAATGAGTGCTACAAAAAACATAATCATTATGCAAACTCTCTTTCCTTTAAGCTTAATGCTAGATCAGGGCATATATATTGAAATACACTGTTGTGGTTCCACATAGCTTGACTGGTGAAGGTTTACCTCATAGGGATTCAAAACCTAAGCGAATAAACTTTGGATTTTTGCAGTATTTTTTTTTTACCATACATTACCCTGTTTTCATTCAAATGTTTCCTCAATTTATTTTGATATGGAATCATAATAAATTTCAAAGAAAGGCATGTGTGAAGAAGCCCTGTTCTTGTCAAACTTCCCCCTTTGCCCTATCTCTCTTGGAATATAACTGAACTATTGCTGAAGCATAATTGAAGTGCATGCAGGAGTTAAAATGTGAGCATGATGCTCAAGCAAAGCTTGCCTTGATAAGGAAGGTAGGAAAGTCAACCAAGAAAAAAAGGAGTGGTTTCTGGCAACAGCTATTTCCAAGTAAGTTTTTTAAAAAAAGAAATGGGTTGGTATCACACTGGAGCTGAAAGCGTAGGGAAAGGGTACGCATCCCACATGAAATCCTGGGGTTGCCTTCTTCCTGCAGAATTCTGGGGCTTGTTGTTTAGGGAAGGGGCCTTTAAAATGCTCTGGCAGAGAGGTCCTGGGTCTAACTAAACTACAAGTCCCAGAATTCTTCAGGAGGCAGCCACAGCATTTCAGATGGGATGCATACTCTTTGCCTACCCTTTCAGCTACCAATCCAGTCCAAGAACCAGTCTGCTCTCTTTCAGCTGTAGTGTAGTAAGGCACTAATCTCCGATTCAGTTTGCTCAGGAGCACAAAAGAGCCTATGCTTGCAAGAAAAGTGCAGTAAGAGTACTTTTGGAGTTTTGTTATTTTGAAATAACGTTCCTGGTAACTTAAAGAAAAATCATCCTGAGAGGAACAAGTAAAACATAAATGCGATTTGTAAAAGAGGAAAGCCTTCCATCTCCTCTTAAATGTCACTCCATCATGGGAGAATCTTATTAAAACAGCTTCTTTCGCAACTTGCAACCCATTCCAAATCTCATGCCTTCTCTATACTTGGTTTCCTTAAAACCTGATGTTGGGGGCATTATTTTTCATGCTGCGGTTGCACCAAACTGTAAATTTGTGGCCATCTGTCAGAAAGAGACATACCTAGTGATTGCACCTTGTTTAGGTGACTCCATCTATGAAGCTTTGTTTCACTGTACAATCATGCCTAGATAATGAATGAGGCAATTAATTGCCAGCATTGCTTTTATTAATCTGCCAACTTCAGACTCTTCCGAACCAAATCCCCATCAACTAGAGCTGTGAAAATAGGGTTGGGGGAAGCAGTATCTCTCACATCTTTCTTCCCTCCTTGCCACAAATCAGCAGCAAAGAATGAAAAAGTAACGATGCTGGTTTTATCTACTTACAATTGCTGTTGGAGTGGCAGCTAGGACGCAGTACAGGATAAGCGGGGGAATGAAGCTTTCATCCTCGGTTCCTGGGTACGGCTTCATCAAGTCTCCATCCTGGCAGAAGAAGCCTTGGATATGCACCTGGAAAGTGTCTGTGCACTCAAAGTAGTAGGCGAGCAGAACAGTCCCGGCCATAATGACGAGCTGGAAATACAGCATGATGACACAAAGGCATTAGCAGCTGTTTAGCAGCCGTGCCTCGGAGCTACCCAGCAGCAGCCACCCTCCATCATCACCACCAAAGACACCATCCCAAGAGCAATGCTCACATTAATGACAGAGTGCTCAGGCTTGTGGCTGTACTGTCTAACATCTGTTACATAAACCTTTGGGTTACTCCCCCCAAGGCAATGAAAGGCTCTGATTCAATGGGGATCATGGCATACTTTGCAAAAGGATGGGAACTCTGGTGCCGACTTTGTTAAAAGGCATGCTGTTGTCACCGGCAGCCTGGATTAGGCAAATGGAATGGGGCAGGCTCTACCAGTTTAAAAAAGTCATATTGTAGTCTCTTGCCAGGAAAGCCCACAAGGGAAAGCTTGGCCAGGTAGAAGGAAGGAAATGAGGCTCAGATAAAAGGTATCTAGACAGGAGCTACTCCACCTGTATGACTACTATCAGATCCTCTGAAGATGCCAGTATCACAGATGCAGATGAAATGTTAGGAGAAAATGCTGCATCCCACTTGGGATATTTTATAGATATACATTCTTCCATGTGTTCCAAATTAGATTCAGCCAAGAATTTGGATATCATCCTGTGTGTTTTTTTAAAACTCCCAAAAGTGGCTTACAATTTTTTTTAAAAAAGTATAAGAACAATAACTTGTTATCTTTTAAAGCATTACAAAAGATAAATGTGCAAAGAAGCCAAAACAAACAGCAAGTAAATATAATGAGATAAAAATGTGAATCAAATGCCTGTTTAAAGAGGTGGAACAAAGACAAAGAGGCAAGTGACCAGTTCTCTTGGCAGAGGAGGTGCCACATATGGACTGGCCACCAACTAGATTAGACCTATTCAATTCACTGGTGAATAGTAAGTCAAAACATAAATACATCTATGTAAGTCTACTCTGGTCAAAACCAAAATAGAATTCAGATTCTGGGGTTTCATCACCAAGAAAGCCCTCTTCTACGTTCTCACAAGTGATGTCTCTCAAAGCAATGATACATGCAAAAGAGGCATAACCGCTGTTCCTAAAGGATGGTCCGATTCAAAAAAGAGGAGGTGATGCTTCAAGTTGTCAGATCTTAACCCATTTAGCTTTACCACACTTAGTGCCATACTGACTCTTCTAGGAGCAATTGCACCGAGGCTGGGGGCCATCTTTCCTCCAGTAGACCAGGTCACTACATTTTGGCACATCCAAAGTGATGTGATATCACTTCTAGACACAGTTTTGGCTAGTTTCCAGCAAATCATTTTCTTTATTGGTGTTTTGTCTTGGGAGACTGGAGGAACAAAACAATTACATTTTTATGATAATTTGGGCTGGATTGTGATCTAAAAATATTTTTTAGGGTCTGGGAGAAACTTCTTGGGGGTCCCATGGGTCGCATGCACTTTGCCCACCCAAGTGGTACAAAAACACTGGTTCTAATAACTGCTACTATCTTACAGAACCAATTCTGAGTTTTAGGCTCTTGACATTGAAATGAGCTGAACCCTCATGCTGAACCCTACTCTTAAAACTAAATTTGCAATACCAGTTAGTGATAGCTGAAGGCTCATACCAGTGGGGCGGTGAATCTCCACTGAGCCTTAATCCAAACTTTGAAGGATCAATACAAGATGTCAACCCTCTCTGCACAAAGAGGTTCAGCACCTTAGAAAGCTCAGTTCAGCATATAACACAAAAGTGCATTTACCTACAGGAAGTCCACCAGTTTCCAGTAACCTATCACTAATTCTTGTTGCTCCCTAGAATAAGCATCCTTTTTCCTGAGAAATTTCATTTGAAAATTCTTATGTTTTTTACCACATCAGTTATCTTGTGGCAGAAAGTTCTCTGTCATGCTATGAATAATATACAACTTGCCTTTGAAAGCAATATATAACAGTAAGTTCTTTTTAGTAACTTTTGCAAATCAGAAGTTTGAAGATGAGATTTGAAGAGATTTTACATTTTTACTGTTATATTCCCCAAAGCATTTTCTTTTATCATTTATTCTTCCCTTCTTTCTCTACTTATACCTATAGCAAGCTCCTACACCAGCTGACAGCTTCCATCATCTACTTTCTTGTTCCTTTCACATTGATTTCTCATTCTGATAATAGTTTCTCTCTTTCATTCCCTGCCTTGCTATTCCCAGGCTTCTCTCACCCTCCATCACCATCAGACCATCATCTCATCTCCGTTTCCAATGTATTCAATTTCTGTTCAGGACATTTTTGGTAAAAGAAGCAACAAACCATGCTCTTCCTCCCATAAACAGACAAACAAACAAACAAACAAATAAATAAATACACAAGCAAACAAATAAAAAGTAAAATTAAAAAAAATATCACAACACAGACATATTAACACAAACTTATCAGTTCCTGGCAATATAAGAGACCACAGGGGCCATCCATTCCAACTTCCCTGTCATGCAGGAACATACAATCAAAGCATTCCTGACAGACAGCCATCCACTTAAAAACCTCCAGAGAAGAAGACTCCACCGTGTTCTGAGATAGCATTTTCCATTGCTGAACAGCTCTTACTGTCAAAAAGTTCTTCCTAATGTTTAGGTGGAATCTATTTTCCTGTTATTTGAATCCATTGCTTTGTGTTTTAGTCTCCAGAGCAGGGAAATAAACTTGTTCCCTCCTCAATGTGACACCCTTTCAAATATTTAAACATGGCTATCATATGTGGTAGTTTTGTGGAAAAGTCCAGAAAAACTGGATTCAAATACATTTGATGCTGGAAGAAATTTTTAAGGTTAAATCCATTTACTGACAGGGATTCTAAACGCTGGAGGAGCATTTAGAGGGAAAATGGAATAATATTGCAATATATGATAACTGCAGAAAGAATCGCTTGTGCTCAGAAATGAAAGGAACCAGAGAAATCTTTATGATTAAGATCTTCTGGGGAGGCCTGGCTTTCAATTCCACCTTTTTCGCAAGAGTGACTGACGGGGATGAGACAGAGCCTTCTCAGTGGTGGAACTCCCTCCCTAGTGAAATTAGAGCAGTCTCCTCCTTCCTGACATTCAGGAAGAAAGTAAAAATGTGGTTATGTGACCAAGCTTTCAGACAGCAAAGCTTTTATTGCAATAAGATAATAAGGAATAGTGAATGGACCAATGGAACGGCTATGGACTTGATTTTGGATGATGTGATTTTAATAACTGTTTTCAAATCGTGTTTTTATTGGTGGGCTTTAATAGAAATGTTATTTCATTATACTTTATGTGTAAATGTTATTTTATGTTTATGTTTTAATTTGGTTAGGTTAATTTATAGTTATATGTTATTGTCTTTCTATTATCTTTTGGTTTTCACATGCATGTATGGCATTGAATTTTGACTTTATAATGTTGGAAACCACTTTGAGTTCCCTTAGCGGGAGAAAAGCGGTACATAAATGTAGTAAATAAATAAATATGACTAACTTAAAGAAAGATTGGGATTTTTTTCACATCATAGATGGGAGGAATTGTCAACTAAAGGATTTATGAATTATTGGTAGTTAAGGTACTATCAAAATGAGAAATGTAAATATAATATTATTTAAAGAGCATAAGGGACAGAAACATCAGATATGCATTAGAAGTTTATAGATCTATCCCTATATTTGGTTATGAGTTTTGTTTTTGTATGTAAATGTATGTTTGATTTTTGTGTTTATGTTTTGTCATTTTAAATACATATTTAGTTGTAGTTCTGTGGTAGTGGGTAGAGTGTAGTTGTATAGCTTGTAGTATTATGTATCTCAAAAATGTGTTTGTTTGTTCTAGCATTGCTGTTCTATTATGTTTTTTCTTTCTTTAATAAAAATTACTCATAATAATATGGGTACAATTATTGTTGTTGTTATTGTTATTATTATTATTATTATATTTGAGTGAACAGTGATCAGCTGTGCACCCATTTAGATTAAGCCCTAACCACCTTGTGGGATAAGAAATATATTATTTGGGCTTTACTGCTTTGAATCAACTGGCACTTTCTGCCCAATCTTCTAAATTATTAATCTCATTAGAATTAGAAGGAGGCAACATATTATTTTGGTTTCTTCCAGTGGGTATTTAATACAAACGGCTACTCATATTAAATGGAAATGGCAGTGAGAGCCAACTCCAGCAGTGAAGATTGTGCCATCTATCTACCTACATAAAAGTTAGCAATTAGAGGCTACAAAAGGCTACAAAAGTTAGCAATTAGAAAGACCCATACTGCCCTCTTGTGGAAAAAAGGAAAACAATTTAAACCTATAGGTATCTGCAACTTTAATATATGTTATGATGATGAAAACAGCTGCTCATTTCCATTTTTTAAAATCTACACTATTTGCATCTTCATTGTGATCAGCTTCAATTCAGTATATTTAAGCTAGCGTGCTGCTAAATACAGATGAGATGAGATGAGGTGAGGTGAGGTGAGGTGAGATGAGATGGAAAGCCAAACATATGACCTTACAATTGGAGTTTCTTTTTTGCAGTAAATAAATGACTGAATGTGACCCCCAGATCTCAAGGATGAGATGCTGCAGATTGGGAAACTGGAAAAGAATGAACCTAGTCACGGGGCACCTAGGGACAAGCAATTGTGGGAACATCCTAAAGCAGGGATGTCCAAACATTTTAAGATGAGGGCCAGTTCACGGTCCCTCAGCCTGTTTGGGGCGGGGACAGACAATAGTTTGAGGGGGAAAACATGAATGCATTCCTATGCACACTACATCTGTCTTATTTGTAGTGCAAAAGAACCCACAAAAGAACAATAAAATATATAAAACAAAGACCATTTTAACCAATGTAAATCTACAGTCATTCAATGGGAAGTGTGGGCCTGCTTTTGGCTGAGAGAGTGAAGTTAATTAGGATTGTTGTTGTTGTTGCTGTTGTTGTGTGTCTTCAAGTCATTTCAGACAGTGGCGTATGCTGCCTCAGCATCTGGTTGAGTCTCCTTCTCTGGAGGTTTTTCAACAG